CAACAGAGTTTGAACTGGTTCTTTGACAGAAATTCCTGGGAAGTTGTGATAACAGCTATTTTTCAGCCTAGGTAGCAGCAGCAGGCGTGGATTGGGGGAAGTGACCTCTGAAATGGGCGGTGGCGTGAAGACCCATGCCAGAATCTGTGCAAAAGCATTTTCCAAGCCACACGTGATCGCTCAGGAGTGGTTGGAAGCATTAATGGGCATTAAATGGTGACAAGACCTGTCAATACCAACATTCTGGTTGTTGAATCAACAGCGTAAACCATGCTCTGGCCTTGGCTACCTGTTGTCTTAGCAAGCTCTGGAAATTTTCCTGGTCTTCTGGTACGTTCCTTGGATCTACTTCTGGACAATTTGGATTTAGAGATTCTGTATCAGTGACACCTATCCTTCTGGCCTTTCATCTTCTGATTTCAACCTGTTCTGAAGGAGCCTTTATACTTTCATGTTTCTCTTGCATTCCTTTAGCAAGTTCTGACTGAGCTTGTGTAACTGCTGAAGGGGCATGTTCTGTTTGAGGCTTACACTCTGAACCACGTTTACAACTTCTGATTGAACTGATATAACTGCTGAAGAGCCAACTTCTGACCACGCTGAGCCAAGCTTGCAACTTCTGACCGTCTTCATCTGGAATGGGTCCAGAAGTTCTGAAGCGCTAATTTTTTCTAAAAAACACTTATTTTAAAGAAACATTCTAAGCACTTAGAATTTGATTTTCCTCAAGATGGAAGCGTTGTTCCCGGAGTTTGTGAGATCATCTTGCTCTTGTAAGTGGCTTGCTTGGGCAAAAGGATAACCCAGGACTTGGATTTGTTCCAGGGGACTTTGAAAAATCTAAGATGGTTTCCTGAAGAAAGGGAGGGCAAATTTTGGGGTACAACAGTTGCCCCTGTTCAATCTTCTTGAACCTGAAGAGTTAGATTGGCGAGTTTGCCTTTCGCGACTCGAGGGTAAAAGGAGATTGGACACCAGAGTGCCCGAAAATTTGCACTTGCCTAGTAGAGTATCAGCAATGGGAATGGGCTTATAGATGCCATCCGGAGACGTGACAGAACCTTGTCGGGAATGGGCTTATAGATGCCATTTGGAAGTGTCGATCGCATAAGAGATTCCTTAGCGAGAAATTTGTATATTTGAGAAAGACGGATGTTTTCCTGGCTTGTTACAGGTGTTTGATCTTCAATCTCCTTATGCAGATGTGCTCCGGCTGGATACAGGTATCGAATCTACAATTGATTGCTCACAGATGTGCCCTGGCTGGATACAGGAGTCGAATCTACAATTGATTGCTCACAGATGTGCCCTGGCTGGATACAGGAGTCGAATCTGGAAATAGTCGTTAATAGATGCGCCCTGGCGGGATACAGGAATCGAATCTTTGAACTCTTCAGACGTGCCCTGGCTAGGTACAGGAATCGAGTCTGGAAACGTTGTAGTTGACAGATGTGCCCTGGCTGGATACAGGAATCGAATCTTTGAACTCTTCAGACGTGCCCTGGCTAGGTACAGGAATCGAGTCTGGAAACGTTGTAGTTGACAGATGTGCCCTGGCTGGATACAGGAATCGAATCTTTGAACTCTTCAGACGTGCCCTGGCTAGATATAGGAATCGAGTCTGGAAACGTTGTAGTTGACAGATGTGCCCTGGCTGGATACAGGAATCGAATCTTTGAACTCTTCAGACGTGCCCTGGCTAGATACAGGAATCGAGTCTGGAAATGTTGTAGTTGATAGATGTGCCCTGGCTGGATACAGGAATCGAATCTTCGGACTCTTCAGACGTGCCCTGGCTAGATACAGGAATCGAGTCTGGAAACTGATCACTCTCAGATGTGCCCTGGCTAGATACAGGTATCGAATCTGGAATTGTGACAATTTGAAGGTAGCTGTTTTCGGGATTGTCTTTTTCCTGAAAAGGCGAAAACATAAGTGGTATGCAATGTCATGATGTATGATATGCATGATGTTATGATGTTCAACATGAGATGTTGTATGCGTTTCATCATGTATGTAAGCAAGATGTATGAAAATGTGAAATGTTTATGAGTGTAATTTCATCTTAGGAAAATAAATCCTTGACGAACGGCCGGGAAGCTGCTCTGTGGAAGAGATACTTGGCCGAAGTTTTGATGAGAGGCCTGCTGAGGACTTTAACGACGGATTCCGCTGAGGATAATGATGATAAACTCCGCTGGGGAATCCCAAAGATAAACTCTGCTTGGGAATACCAAAGATAGACTCCGCTGGGGATTGAAGGAACTTTGCCGAGAGCGGTCTTCCGTGATTTTTAGCTGAGGATAACCCAGTTATAAGTCCTTGTGAGGGAATAATTCTAAATAAACTC